AAATGTCAGCTCCAGTAAATCCAGAATGAAACCAAACATTAATCTGCCAAACTAGTGAGACAACTTAGAATGTGAATTCACGAACAGATCAGCTCGTCTAAAACCCCACATCCAGAGGGATGTAGAAATTTCTCACTGATCATGTAATGATACTTAAATATAACGTTGAACAGCAATAAAATCCAGCAGTATACATTTTCTTTAACAAGAAGTACAAGGCTCTAAAGTATGAGTGATGGGAGTCTACAGAATAGAGGGGAAAGTAAGAAAAGGAGACAACAAAACATAACTGGTAATACATGTTCAGAGACGATTATCGGGAGATATTATGAAAGTTAAATAGGTAAAAACGGAATAAAAAGGAAGTAAGTTGTTTTCAGTCTAAACCTTTATTCTAGAAGAGGCATGAAAGAACGCAAATGATGAAGACAACCAGTTTTGGGATGAAATTAATAATAACACGGTTCCCATGTATCAAGTCATCAAAATACATCATAACATGAATAGTGAAATAAGATAATAAATGTCTAGTTGGTCAGGATACTCGGCTCTCACCCGAGAGACCCGGGTTCAAGTCCCGGCAACGGAATATTTAGGGAAAAAAAGATAATAAAAAACTAATGTTGAAAGCCGTCTCAAGAGGAAACATGCAAACGTAAAAGATCCCACTACGCAACTTTAGACAATAGACCAGGAGACTAATACTCCCTCTTACCAGATAAAATGACCTGATTTTACTAACGGGGAGTTCAAAAACAGAATGTATGAATAGATTATTATATTGGGATTGGTAGAGAAGTATTATAAAAATAGTTTATTATTATCCGTGAAAGGTGCGTTTACGCCCTAAAACGAGGCATAAAACATGTTGAGTGTTTCGCCTCACTTTATAAGCACTTCGGTGTCGTCATCAAGGATGTAAAACATACTTTTCCTTGCCAATGAGTGCAATCTTGAAGAGGTGACACTAAACAATTGATATTTCATTTTATTATAATTATTTTTCAATTTCTTTGTCAATATATTTATTGTTCATGCTTATGATTATTAGTCTTGGACTACACATACATATTTGTAGTTTTTCTCCATTTGCATCTTTTTCCAATAAAGCACACGCTTTATTTGCGCTTAAAACCCAAATGACCTTAGAACTTTTTTGTGCGTTTCGCTTTCAATAACACTAATTATTTTTTTATTTTTTTTGATGAAGTACAATAACACTAATTATTATATGGATTTAGGAAAAGAGGTGGACAATCCAGCAGAAGAGATCTCACATTAAGTTGTAGTCAAGGATTTGACCTAGTAGTCAATAAAATGGATGAAAAACACGATTCAAAATTTAAATCCCAACAGAGACAAGAAGAATAGTAGGTGATTTTGTTTCATCTATCTAAGCATTCATGAGAAAACTTATTTGGTACTTGTTCTTGTGGAAGGTAACATGTACCTGGTGGAATAGCTGAGATGCATACGAGCATTCCCAGAAACCATTGTTATCAACTGATAAAATAAAAGGAGATGTCGCATGAGGAGTGTCATAAAATACATGAAAGGTTCCATGTATCAAGTCAATTTTAATTTCTTTGTTTGATTTCTTATAATTTGTTTCACTGCATAAAAAATCTTTATTATAGCTATACATAACATTTCAACCAAAAAGTCTTCTTTAAAATATTTTGAGAAGATTCCACATGGGTCAATTTGGGCTACATAATTATCCCAAATCCGCCCCAACTTTTGATGGGCTGAATTGACGTGACAAAATTGGCCACCCAAACTTGGGTCGGTCATGTTTTCATTGGCTAATTTTGCCACCCTTATGCCATAGTAAGTTATAAAAAAAATGGTCAAACACATAAGGGAGACCCTTAAACTTGCCACAATTTTTCATTTTGGCACCTTAACTATAGCGTGTTCCAATTAGACACTTCAACATCATTAAAATTATACCTATTAAACACAAATAAGTGATGTGGCAAAGTGTGTGCATCACATTTTCTCTAAGAGAGTGAAAGCCTAAAAAATTATTCTATTTAATTTCTTTTCCTGTCTTCTTTCTATTGTCATCTGAAACTACTGAATCATGAAATACTATATGAGTCAATTTAATTTAATTGAAACAATAACTATCAAGATCTTTATGATACAAAATAATGATAAAATTAGATAATCACTATTTGGCATTTAGTATAATAACCATTGGCCTGGGTCTCTAGGATACAAGAAAACAAAGAGTTGTGGACTAAAGGCATACATTTTTAGTTTAATTATCTATAGGAAGGAGAAAACAGATAATGAGAACAACTTATAGCACTAATAATGCACAACACAAAACACAATACTGGCAACAATTGGGATTGAAAATTGAGAAGAATATGAGCAAAGCTTTAGGGGAGGGGGTAGGAGACGATGGAAGAGACTAGGGTTGAAGAACACTGGTATAACGATTGGTATTGAGAAGTGGGAAGAAAATACACTATGGGAAGGGGGGATCATGAGAAAATAACATATATATTATTTTAAAATGTTGTTTTAGTAATATATGAGTCCAAATGCCACATATCTTCATTTTATTTGGAACTTATTCATGTCAATGAGTGTGAATAACACACACTTTATATTTTTGGGGAATTTTCGGTGAGGTGCTTCAAAGACAAAGTTCAGACTTAAGTGTCTAATTGGAACAAGCCATAGTTAAGCCTTAAGGTGCCAAAATGAAAATGTGGCAAGTTTAAGGGGCCTTTATGTGTTTGGTCTATAAAAAATATAAAAGGCATCAATTTATCAGTTTGATTCATTTGAGGGAAATGTGCCGTATGAAGAAAAATGATTGAGCATTTCAAATGAGGCAACAAGGAAACTTGGTCATTATTTTGGGAAGGAAAGAGTAACTCACTAGCAGGATATATAACAAAAGAAAACTCACAATCTGCACAAAAAGAAGATAATTGATTGGGAATCCTCTTTTCAGATATGACAAGGGCTGTCATGTGTTCTTTTAATTACTGCTTTGATTTGTTTGATCAGAAGTTCTTCAAGAAACAGCCTCTCTACGTTGGAGAGGTAGTGGTAAGGCCTACTACGTACACTCTCCCTCCCAAAACCACACTTTGTGGGATTTCACTGGATTTTTTGTTGTTATTGTCTATCCTATATCTTTTTCTAAAACCATACATTTACAACATTTCGAAAAAAAAGACCAAAACTCAATTGACAATAAAGGAAAAAGATCAATCCCAATAAGCAATAACTAGACTTTCAATTTCCAAAATCTTAGGCCACCTTTAACGCCAAAATTCCAAAATTTCACATACTAAAAAATGCCAGTATATTTCAAATTCACTCGAAAACCAAAGTTAAGTCATTGTTCCCCATTCTCATCATTTAATACATTCCAGTATCAACCAAACATCTTCATCGCCAGAGTTCAATTATAAGCAAAAACACAGCAAAGAGGAATCCAAAACATACAATCATACAACATATATGAATTCAAATTTCAACGTAGAAAGAAAGCATACTCGATCTGACAGAGTGATCGGAGAAGCAAATTAGGGTTCCGGCGAAGCACGAATCTATTTTGCTCTCCAATTGAGATGCTATTAAAACCCTAATTCCTCTTTCGCCAAGTTGAGATGCTATTGGGGGAAAATGGACCTGGATTTTTTAATTAATAGTATATATTATCAACCTGTCATTTATTTGTTAAATTAATAACCCTATAACTAATTTTCTTTATAAACATGGTGTTCAGGCGGCTCTTTTCTTAATCAGAGATTTTGGTTCGAGACTTAGATATAGGGAAAAAAAGTTTCTCCTTAATGAGGTTTTAAGCGCGTGATGTTGAATTAGTCAGATTCCAATGCAGATATAGGATATCAAATGGATTTTTTTTTAAAGAAAACATGGTGTTCAATTCCATTTACGCGCAATTTGACTAATTTTATGAGATATTTATCATCTTACACCAGAATTAGGTATCAAATAGCAATGCCGAAAGCTAGAAAGGATGGAAGAAATCAGTAATGTTTTTATTTGTGTTGGAATTTGGAGATGAGAGCTTATGATTTTCAATCGACATTACTAATATTTTAATTAAATAATTATTTGAAAGTAGAATTGACCTAACTATATTGTCAAAATGAGACATGGTTTTTAAATTTTACCAAATTTAACTAGTAAACTATTGTTATCTCTCTTCCTTACACACCCAAAAGTCAAAACACTCTCTCTCTCCATATTCCACTCTCGGATCATTTTTAAAATTTTCAGATATGATTTTATTAGTTGATTTGCTAATTGGAGGAAGTTTCTTCGATGAAGGTGGTGATAACGGCAATTAAATGATTTGATTGTTTTACTTGTTCAAGTGAAATGAATGGTCTCATATTTATATAAAGTAGAATTATTGGCAATGGTCACTATTTTTGAAGAAATTTACATATTAAGTCATTAGTTTCTATTCGTTATTGGAGTTACTATGAAATACTATTGATATTGTTAAAGTCATAAGCAACAATTATTGAAGTTTGAAGCTTCAAAATTTTGAAAATTTGCTTCTTTTTTTCACAAATAAGTTTTATTTCAAGTGGATATTATTGCGACTACATATTGAGGAGCCTAAATATGAATTTTTGGGTGATTTGATGTAGTTTTTGGATGAATATGTACGTCAACTTTTATATATTTTTGTAAAAACTAAAATTTGCATATTATTTACCAGAGTTCAGGAGATAATCATAAAATGTTCCAATTAAAAACAAATGGTTAAATCTACAATGTTAATGATTCTTAGCGATGTCATCAGAATTTTAACCAACGGTTAAGATATTTATATAATCGATTATCAACCAATATGATCTTTAAAACAAAATTAATTTCCTAAAAGTTTAGTCATTATTCAGAAAATGATCACAATGAATAATTAGCCGTAGTTATCTTTCAAATGAACATGATAGACAAATATATAAGTTAAAACTCAATGGAATAGAAGCCTGAAGCAAAAATATAATCCCATACATTGTCAAAATTGACAAGTCTCATTCTACTAAGCATGCAAAACTGAGGTTTCTACCTAGTAGCAAAAGAAAAACAATATTAATAGAAAACCTTAAGGCAACAAGGATTCAAAGTTCTTCTACAAATTCACTAATCATCGTCTTCCTCATCGTCGTCATCATTTCCACCAGCTGCGTTCAAAGCATTGAGTCTCTCAATCAACTTAGCTTTCCTCTCTTCATAAGTCAGCTTCTTAAGGTTGTACCTGCAGAACAGCCCCAAGAAGTATGGTTTAAAAAACGATGGACTTTCTGTCGGGACACATCTAAGCACTATGTAGTTCAGATATGTAGCGCGATAATCAGTAGAGATGAAGATCCTCCAGAAATGCATCAAAACAAGTTACACCTCAAGTAAATGAAGAACGGGCCTACATGGACACAGGACACAACACTACTGCACCTATGAATTTCAACGTGTCCTAATGATTTTAACATCTAATCATTTTTTATTGATCATTTTCTATAAAGCTGATAATTGACCAAGGAAAAAATTTCAGACCTCTTGTGTGTCTTGGGAGGTTGCTTTCCAGACTTCTTTGGGCATGGGTCTGCGCGTATGGCAGCATGAACCTTCTTGTACATCTCCTCAAGATTGTCTGCCTCAAGACCCGCCTTGATGTATAAGCTGAAGTGTGTCTGATATTTCTCAGGTTCATCTTCCATCAAAGTCTGCAAACAATGGTCAAGCATATTAGAGATGGGGAGTAAATAGAAGCCAGAACGAACACTGAAAATAAATAATCTTCTATGCCCTACCCATGGATTCTACATAAATTACAAAAGAATCAATCTAAAGTACTTCTATATCTCACATTCATATAAGCAGTAACGTGGCCACCATAGATATACTTGCGGTGAACTTCTGCATCGAGTTGCTTAGAGTCCTTGCTGTATCCAGCAAACCTCTTCTCACTATGAGGGATGTCAATCCCACCATCCAATGCACCCTGAGTCAAAGAATCAATATTCAACAACACAGATAAGACACAGTTAATTGTCACATGACAGGATTAATGCATAATTAATACTCCCTCCGTCCCTTTTTAGTTGTCCACTTTAGAAATGGCACACAGATTAAGGCAACAATGATTAGCACAGTGAAGTTACAATTTTACCCTTATGACAACTTTTCATTTCAAAATTACAACCGCTTCTTTGAATTCAAGTGAAATAAATTGGAGGGAAATAAGGGTATAATAGGAAAAAATTTGTTGTCCTTTCTTGATTTGTCAAAATGGACAACTAAATAGGGACAACCAAAAAAGGAAATATGGACAAGTAAATAGGGACGGAGGGAGTAATATTTTTAGTCTTTTATTACCCATAACTTAAAAGTGTCCGAATCCGTATCTCGACGACTACAATAAGCACTTGAAATGGCACGTGTTATGTGAATCCCACCGGAAATATTGCATATGAAATGCACCACGAACAAATATCAAGTACAATATTATGCACCGGAAATCAGGATAAGATATACTCCCTCCGTCCCTTTTTAGTTGTCCACTTTAGAAATGGCACACAGATTAAGGCAACAATGATTAGCACAGTGAAGTTACAATTTTACCCTTATGACAACTTTTCATTTCAAAATTACAACCACTTCTTTGAATTCAAGTGAAATAAATTGGAGGGAAATAAGGGTATAATAGGAAAAAATTTGTTGTCTTTTCTTGATTTGTCAAAATGGACAAGTAAATAGGGACATCTAAAAAAGGAAATATGGACAAGTAAAAAGGGACGGAGGGAGTATCTCACCATCCAATGCACCCTGAAACAAAGAAGAATGGTGCAGATAGACAGTTTATGGTTTAATGCACCTTAAATAATAAAATGAAGGAAAACAATGCCCCTCGTAGAGAAGAATTACTACATGATCTATCCAACAGCCCCAACCATATTTAGGAGAGTTAAACAAAGTTTTAGTTTCTCAGAGATGGAAATAATCTAGCTAATGTTCTTTACTTTGAAGTTATAGCTGATTGGAGAACCATTCAATCAACAACTCACAGAATGTATAAGATGTTTCACAAATTAAAATTTTCAATTAAAGCAAATATTAGCAATCTGGCGCATCGTATAGACTTCAACTCAGAGAGAAGGAACCAACAGCAAAAGCAGGTTAATACCTTGAGAGCACCAAAAACACGGTTCCCTGTGGTAGTTCTTAAGAGGCCGACGTCCAAGAGAGCACGGAAAGGCCTCCTGCTTTCAGCAGGTTCAACGGAGTAGTCCTCTCCGTTGACCTGTAACAACATGCAATTGAAGTTAGACATAAAAGAAACTGCAAACAGGACAAAGGATGCACCCAGAAACCTTGCTTGCAACTACCACTTACATCAAGATTTCCTTGATATTCTTCATCCATTTCAAGCTTCTTGAGAACTCGCCTTGCCAAGAGAAGTCCGGTACAGTATGCTAAAATGAGCATTAAACCACTTAATATTAATTAGATATACAGAAGAATTTCATCTGGGATAACCAATAAATGAATAGCTTGTGTAAGTACCAGCAGCATAGTTCGTCAATCCAACTTTAAGTCCAAAATGAGGCAACTCGCTTGCATAAGCAGAAGCAAGAATCATGTCACCAGCAATACTAGCAGACACAATTTGTGCAATTATGTCCCTGTTAGTCTAGAGAAAATGTTAAGATAAAACTCGGGAAAAATCACCTCCCAACATAACAGATAAGTTACTATCAGAATTTCCATCACTAATCAAGTGAAAACATTCCAAGTGACATTCAATGAATGCACAGTAATAAGGAATTGTTCTGTGGACCAAACGAAAAGTAGATCATTCTACGAAAGAAATAGCAACATAACCAAGTAGCTGCTTTGCAAGTTAAAAGGGCAGAAAATGCATTAGAAAGGATACGAATCGAACAACGAAACGGTATTTTGGAGTGTTGTACTTGTTTTTGTCCTGATTGATCAGACGATTCCTGGCTCTATAGTCAGTCTTTCCCTCTACACAGTAACAAAACATTGAAATTAGTGATATTTTAATTGCAAACAAGATTGAGAACAGACCAGAAAAGATGAAGGAAGATAGTGTTTTACCTCTCCTTCTCTTGAATTTAACCTGGAAACGCTTGAAGTAAGCCCTGGTCTTCTGGACTTTGATGAAGGCCTGCAACGTAATTTAGCAACAATGTCAAAACTCAAAGAAAATGAAGCATTCAAATTATAGTTTACACAACTTGTACCAATCATTCATTTGCAGGTCATATACATTTTTTTCCAAAACAAAATGCTATTGGAAGGTCAAGTAAGTAACATAAGCTTTATTTTAGATCTAGAAGAGAATCGATAAGTGGTTCAATCCCATCAAGGGATATACAGTGGAGGATGGAGTTCATAAGTTACAAACAGAATATTTTTTGACACAACATAAATACATGAAGAAAATCCTTCTAGCTATTAAAAAGTCAAATTAGTTCAACGATAAGAACCTTAAAGCTTGAACCTTTCAAGTTTAAAACCTAAATTAAACTCCAGTGATATACTGTCATTAAAATCAAGCTCAAATCAGATATAGATTGCAAAATCCAAGTTCACAAAAGAGAATAAGACAGCTTCCATCACTAGTTCTACAAGTTGACAATCTGAGCTACGAAAATCAAACTCCTTGCCCCTGTTATATTATCTACTGCCTAATATTTATACGAAATAAATTGTTATACTAACATTCTGATCCATAGAGAAATATTTTCAACTTCCCAAGAGAAAATCCATTTTTTGTTAATATTTTCATAGATACACCAAAAAAAAAAGTGAGAAACAAAAGCAAATCAAACTAAGCATATCTTAATAACATAAAAACAGATCCATAAAAAATAAAAATACCACCAAAACCACCATTTACTACTCTTTTACACACCAAATAACCATATACAGTACAAATTATGCATGAAAAACTCTATAGCTATAATTTTTTTGGACAACGAAAAGTATATCATGAATTGAAAAGTACAATAGAAAATCTTAAACATACATTTCAATGAAATTATGAAAAGTTAATTAAATCTTACCATTGTTGTTCGTCGATGAAGCCTCCGCCGGCGTTTGGGGCTGTGGGGAATGAGTTGAAGAAGAAGCTTGTGTGAGAAAAACACTACTAATATGAAGCTAAAATACCTAACGAAACCCTAATGGGCCAATCATGAAATGTTGACCTGTAAGGCCCATGTGGGTTCGGCCCATTGATATATGAAGCCCATAATTATTAATATTAAGATTAGAAATTATTTTTTAGAAAATACATAAATTATACTTTAATGTTTTCCAAAAAAAAATAAAGTTATATACCTATTTTATTCGAAATCTCATCACCTCCTAATCTAGTAAGATTTTGAAGCATTTTATACATGAACGATATGTTACGAAATTCGCAAATTGAATAAGAATTAAGAGTCATGAAAAAAGATAATAATAGATTAATGAAATAGATGAGAAAAGTTAATTTCTTAAACTTATTTTTGTAGTAACTAAATAACAATAGTGAGAAAATATACATGTGAAATTTTTTTAACAATGAGATTGAACTAAAAGCCTAAGAAAGGGTACAGTCAGTGGCGGACCCAGGATTTTCGTTCAGGGGGTTCAAAAAATAAAAGTATAAACGTGTAAATAAGTCTTTAGAAATGAGAACCTTGATTTTTTTTGGGTTTAAAACCCCACTTTTAGCATGTTTTTTAAAGTAAAAAAAACACTAAAAAAATGAAAAACAGAACTGAAAATTAAAAAAAAAAACAAAAAAATACTGAAACTAAAAAAGAAAAAAATAAAATGCTTTCACTGGGTTTCGAACCACGCACAACTTAATTTTAGGGGGAGTTACCACTACACCATCAGCAGCTTCTCTTTGTTATTGAGGGGGTTCAAAATATATATATTTACAGAAATACAAAAAAAATACTTTATATATACAGTGTAATTTTTTGTCAAGGGGGTTCGGGTGAACCCCCTGAAGACCACGTGGGTCCGCCCCTGGGTACAGTTATCCAATTTTGAATGATACAATATAATCATAAAAATAAATTTGATTTACTTATACATGATAAGTCAATAAAAATATATAATGTCTTGTACGAATAACAAGTAGTCTTGATATTTAATTTGTGGTTTTGCTTAAGCAATTAAGACAAAACCAATATATTTAATTCATAAAATAAAGAGATATAATTTAGTTCACATAATAAAGGTATTGAAATGTGATTTTATTTCATGATTTAAAATTATGAGATGAAATTAGTACTTGAATATGTAATTTTACTTTATGATTTTAAATCATAAGATGAAATTTCAAATTCTCGAAAAAAAATTGATTTGAAAATTCTACATCATGATTTTATATTTTTCAATATAAACCCACGAGTTTATATTTTATAAAGAAAATCATTATTTTATATCAACCAAACATTTATTTCATATCCAAAAAAAATTATTTGACATTATTACTCTTACCAACCTTTAAACAATTTATATGAGATATAATTATTGCTCTTACCAATTAAGTTTATTATTATTTCCTACTTTATTTATTTTTCATAAAATATTGACACACAAGTGAAACAAGACATGAATTATTATGATATTGACACACAAGTAATGATTGTCATAGCTTATACAATGAGACATAATTTGTTGCAAGAATACCAAGGGAGTCATGAAAATTCACGAAATATGACACATGATAACACAATTCCTAATGATATTGACCAACAAACGTCTCAAAGTAACAATGTTGGTTCATCTTTTCAGTCATTTGATCTAGAAATATGTGCTTAACATGATAAGATTGTTTGTACTATGTGAGAAGATTATATTAAAACGTAGTATACTACAACTCATGTTCAATTTTATTTTTTATCGAACTAAAGTTCGATCATAAATGTTGTATATTTATTTAGAATAACTCTGTAATAATGTATTATACTTTTGTTATGAACTTTTCTAATTTAAGATAATATAAGACTTAGGGAGACAAGTTGTGAGGTTTTCATATTAATAAGTAAAAATATAGAGAAAAGACATAAAGTCACTACTGAAGTTGTCCCAAATTTTTAAAAAGACACCTTAACTTTGCAACCGTTCTATTACCCCACTAAACAATTTTGAACAAATATTATTTTATCATTTCTCATCCACCTGACATAGATAGTGGTGTATACTCTCTCAAAAAGAGTGAGCAACCTAAAATAACTAATATAATTTTAATTTTACAATTATTTTATTATAAAATATATTTTCTTATTTTTCTTATTATTTTAACTTTTTTTCCTTTTTGTTTTTTCTCTTTCTTTCTTCTTCAAAAATCCATTCTCATCTCCATTGAAGCCTCTCATTTTCAATGTTACCATTTTTACCACAACTTCACCTTCCTTTTTTTACTATTATTAGTTTTACTTTCTTTAATTTTAAAACTTTATCTAAAAAATTTCTTACATTTTGAACAATTTGATAAAACCCATTAGATTTCAAGATGAAAGTATTCATATAGTTTTTTTTTATCCGATTTCAATTAAGTTCTTTTCAATTTTCGAGGAATTCATTGATTCTTTTAAAATTATCATTTCTAATTTTGAAGTTATATGAAAATGAGTAGTTGATGATACCTTCAAAATTTTAAATTTTCTTAGAAAAATAATTAATTTTTGTTATCAATAATTCAATAAAGTCTAAAAAATAATATGAATTCAATAAAGAATTTGACCGGAGAAGAAGAAGAAAAAGAAATAAAAAATGGGAATGGGGTTCAACTTGACGTGGTGGGTGGGGTGAGGATGGGAGGTGAAGAAAAAGAAAGAAAATATAGGAATGGGTCACTTGAAAGTGGGAGGTGGAAGATGAAGTGAAATTTAAGATGAAATTAAAATTAAAATAAATCAAAAAGTAAGAGAGAGATAGAAAAGATGAAGAAAAAACTTAAAATGAATTTTTTTTTACATTTTTAATTAAATTAGCGCGTGTCATGTAATGATTGGTGAATGAACACACTTGCTTCTTAAAATCTGGGGCTGATCGAAAAATGATATAATAATATATGTTCAAAATTGTTTAGTGGGTAATAGGACGATTGCAAAGTTAAAGTAATTTTTAAAAAAAATCCGAAACAACTTCAGTGGTGACTTTATGTCTTTTCTCAAAAATATATTATGAGAAATTCAAATTGTATGTCTAAACAAAACTTCAGATTTAAATCAGTTTGATTTCAAAACACACCCAAACAAACTTATGAAGACAATATTGTAATGTAACATCCAAACAACAAAAACATACCCAGTGAAATTTTACAAGTGAAATGTGAGTTGGATAAAATGTACACACATTACCCTTACCTCGTAAAGGTCCAATAACTATTTTCAAAAAATCGTGACTTAAGTACTAAATGTCAAACTAGGTATGAAAAAAGAAAAACAATAGTGAGGAAAACAAAGGAACTAACAAGAGAACTATAACAATAATAGAATAATACGATAACCTAAACACAATAAACAATAAATGACTCATGATAGCAATCAAAAGCAAGACATTGTAATAATAAAGCTAAACCCTACGAAAAGCAAGATAACACTCCAAACTAATAACATCCAGCCTAGTATACATGTGATGTCCATATCCTCCTATCTAGGGTTATATTTTTGATAATATAAAGTTGTGTCATATCATGTCTAATCACTTCCCCCTAATATTTTATCGGTCTATCCCTCTCCCTAATACAAATAAGAGAACAATAACAAAAATAGAATAGTGTGATAACCTAAACACAATAAATAATAGATGACTAATGATAGTAATCAAAAGTAAGACACTATAATAACAAGGTTAAACCCTACGAAAAGTGAGACAACACTTCAAAACTACTAATCATCTACCCTAGTATGTGATGTCCACACCCTCATATCTAAGGTTAATCTTCGATAATATAAAGATATATCATATCATGTCTAATCACTTCTCCCTAATATTTTCAGTTTACATAAACTCTCCCTGTACCTATTATATCTAACCTCCTACACATACTCACTAAGACATGTGTACATCTCCTACTAATATGCACAAATCATTTTAGCCTCACTTCCTCATCTTGACCACCACAGACGTCACCACATCTTATTATGGATATACTCATTTTTAATCTCATCGCTTCTAAGATACATATACATTTATGTGTCTCAATATCCTAATTTTCACAACTTTATCTTCTATAAGCATAAGAGTTATGACTAACCAACACATGCTTTATACAACAAAATCATCTATACTCCTATAAAACTTATTTAAATTTAGGTGATGGGTTTTATCACACAAAAACTCCGAAGACAAACCTCCCCATCATCCAAACCGCACCAATAAGATGTGTGACATATCACTAAATTTGCATCACATCCAAACAAGGTGTTATAAATTCCGATGCTGATGTGAGTGATTAACAATAGTTCCAATTTCTTATCTTCGCCTCTCTCAGGTACGGCCTTCGGATTTTGATTTTTTTTTTTCTAAGTCTGGAAACACCTTATCTTCCCGAATTTGATAAATTTGGTGGATTTTTTTTGTGAGATTTTGATGAAATTGTAGTTTTATAGAACCCAGATTTGTTAGCTGTAGCATGTCTACAAAGAGTTCAATTGAATCCTGTGTTTTTCGGCAGATAAATAGGTAAAAAAATCACTAGAAGCTCAAAAAATATTGTTTTTGAATCTATTATTTGTTTTTTCTCTCGGAGTTTTCATGTGTAAGTTGAGGATTGAAGAATTCCAGAACAATTTTTTGTAGAGGGAAATGCTCTATATTTTCACTTTGTTCAGCTAATCATTATACTGAGTTTTATGTAGTCTATTTGAAATTGTCAATGTGAAGAACAATTGCAAACTTTAGGTGTACTGTATTATCTATTTGATTCAAATTATCTAAAATCTGCGATGTGTATTTTTAAGTGCTCACCCACGACTCAGGCCAGGGGCGGGGTCGTGGAGCTAGGTGGATTCAAGAGGTTCAGTTGAATCTCATTTGTCAGGTGATTATGATAGGTAAATAGGGGGGAAACAAATGTTTTTGTGTATA